ACAACTTCATCTCTTTCTCTCTCATTCTCCCCAAATAAAAACAAAGCAGTGCTCCCTCAAACAAAACAAAATTAAAAAGACAAAACCAAAAACCCATAGCCAAACACACACACACACACACACACACACACACACACAGGAGCACATGAATCCTGTTGTCCTGTTGGTCAATTACTGACTATGAGGCCTGTCTGCAGTGTGGTTGATATATTCAGTCACTCCATTGTATTTTTTTTCTCTTCCAGCATATACTAATTGAACATATTTTGTTGGTTAGGAGTAGAAATGTGTCCACTTCCCTTTCTCAGTGTGGGGATCTTGTTTGGGTTCATTTTTCTGCAGGTCTCAGTTTCTGTGAATCCATATGTACATTAAGGAACTGTTAGTTATGGAAGGTGCTGTCTCACTAGGGTCATCTAACACTGCATGCTCTGGCCCTTCTTCCTATGGAAATGTGCCTATATGTGTGTATATATATGTATATGTATATATGTGTATGTATATATATGTATATGTATGTATGTATATATATATATGTACAAGTGTAAATATTTGTGTTTCTATTTTATTTCTTGACTATGTCATACATTGTAAGGATTATGTTTATTTTATAGCAAATATTATTAGAATATATACAACAGCATGTTTTTAATGTGAATATCATTGAAGAAAATACCTCCTTAGCCTCCTGTACATTTTAAACTTTCTTTTGAACTCTGGAAACTGAAAACAGTTGCTTTCTTATACATGACAAATGTGCTCTAACACCAATATATATCATATTAATAGAGCCTGTATAGTTTAAACACATTTATAATAGGCTCAAGTAAAATGTCAACACCTTTTCATTTTGAACCATGGAGGATTTCTACTCCTTTATCTTTCTTCTTTTGAAATTGTCTACCAAAATCAGTAAGAAGGGAGTGCTTGCACACTTACTGAAAAAGTTTTAGTCTCTCTTTTCTTTTGTTCATGACTCATTATTCTTATGTACCTTTATCCTTATGCTGATCCCAGTTCCATGACCCATAATTTTATCAGAGTAATATTTACCAGTATCCTTTTTTTCACAGATCATACTCATTTGAATATTTTAAATCTACTTTTCACTGATCTGTTGTTATTCTAACAATTTGGGTACATTAAAATAAATATACCTGCAATTCTCCTTTTATTTCTCATCCCATCATCCGGTACTCACAGACAGTAACAGGCCAAGCAATTATAGTTCTCTTTTCTCTTCTATGCTTCTGTATTTACAAATTTCTGAATATTCAGCTTTCTGCCATTACTAAATTGTTCTCTTTCAAATTTTATTGAGACTTAGCTGTAATTTTCTTCCTGAGATAACATTCCAGTCTTAAATTTTATGCTGCAGACTATTATTTTTAACAAAGTTCCATTTGACATAGAATCTGAGAATGATGAGACACTAGTCTAAAAAAACAAAACAAAAACAAACAAACAAACAAAAACCCATCCTGCTGGGAAAACTGTGAGCTTAGCTAACTGAAAAATAATGGCTTTACTTCAATGACTGAACTACAGCTTAATTTTCTTAAAAGTCAATAGTATTCAAAAGGATACTGGATGCCCACAGAACAGTGTCTCACCCTACCTTTGGTTAAAGCAATAATCAGCTGTCTCACTCTTAGAAACAACTTCAAGAATTGTGTTCTCACTGAATATGATTTTCCATGATCTCCACAGAAGAGCTGATACTTACATTTTCTTTTTTTTCCACATCTTATTGTTTGTTTTAAAATAGAAAATATCAAGGCATGCCATACAATGGGTGTTGTCCTGATAATTAAGGTAGAATTCTACCATTGTCAGGACAGTCTTCTGAGCCTGGTACAAACTGGAGAACTCCCTTTATCAGCATATTTCTTCTTCTTTGAACTTGTCTGGGAAACTCAAAATCCTTTACCCTCTCACTGTAGAATGTCACATAGCCTTGGTTAGATTACAGGTTTATTCTTTTATCCCAATAAGAACTTGTTCAACAAGCACCTGAGATTCCTGGAATTTCTTCCCATGCTAAGGAGTACATTAGCCGTCAGCCAATGACCTTTGTCCACCCTAGATATTCCTACCTGCTTCTCACAAATTACATATAACCCTTTATTCACTCTAATTAAAGTTGATCTGTCTCCATGAAATTGATCCTGAAACTGATTCTGGAGATAACTCTGTTATTTCCACTGTACTTATGGACATTCTAAACCCTCTTTATCAATTCTATTCCCTTCTTCCTCATGGGTTGGTGACCAATGACCCTGAGAAGGAAAACCCATAAATGGGTGCCTTTGACACTCTTGAGTGACAACTAGGGCCATGAACAGTAAGACAGTTCTTATGAGATTATTTTTCAAAGTGTGTTTTGCATAGTACTAGAGCCATAAGGTATTTGAAGAAAAAAAATTATTGTCATGGAAAAATGAATGCCATCACTGGTGAGGTGGCTCAATAAACAGCACTTGGTGTCAAATCTGACAACACAAGTTTGATCTTTGAAGCTACATTGTAGAAGGAGAGAACTGACTCTTCAAGTTGTCTTCTGTTCTCTATGAATGTGTCATGGCATGTACACACATACACAAATGCACAACTCATTTACATGTGTGGAAACGTGTGCGTGTGTATGTATAAATAAATAAATAAATAAATAAATAAATAAATGTAATTTTTAATTATGTATACAACAGGGGACTGCCAGGTCTGGGTTCAGTCAGAGAAGATGCACCTAACCCTCAAGAGACTGGAGGCCCCAGGGAGTTTAGAGGTCTGGTGGTGGGGGGGACATCCTCATGGAGACAGGAGGTAGGGAGGAGGTATGGGATGTGAAAGATTCAGAGGGTGGATGGGGAGAGGAATCAAATCTGGAGTGTAAATAAATATAAGACTAAAAAATCTTTTGAATGTCATCATAAAGAAGTCAAAGAGTAGCCGGGTAGTGGTGGCGCATGCCTTTAATCCCAGCACTTGGGAGGCAGAGGCAGGCGGATTTCTGAGTTCGAGGCCAGCCTGGTCTACCGAGTGAGTTCCAGGACAGCCAGAGCTATACAGAGAAACCCTGTCTCGAACCCCCCCCCCCAAAAAAAAGAAGAAGTCAAAGAGTATAGACATATCTTTACATTCAACCATTTAGCTTCAATTCCTTGTGTCCTTTATTTTTAATATTTACTAATATTGCAGAGACTATTTTAAGAATGACTAGGAATATGGATATGAATGTAGTGGGAAATGTGAATAAAGTTGGCATAAAGTTTATTTCTTGGGAACGTATCTGAAGGCTTTTTTTTGTTGGTCTTTTCTCTTAGCATAAGCCATTAATAAAATGATGCTTTACTAGAAACAAGGGCAAGATTTAACAGAAGATATTAATCTCCTTCTGAAGACAAAGGTACTTTTTTTTTCTCAAATGAGAGTACTTTGGATGTTTAATTTAAGCTCAGGATCCCTATTTCTCTTTGCAAATTGAATGAGTAAACAAAGAACCAGATTAGTCAGGTACAAATTATTGAAAAATATTGCCTAGAAAAACACTAGAATAAATTGTCTAAATGATGTTGCCTTTTACCTAAAGGCTTTATTTAGCAAGGCATGTCATTTAGCCAAAGGGTGCTGTGGTACTACTCTCACAGGGTAATGACATTTGCAGTGGTCTGAGATAGATGTAGTCTTACCCCAAGGTCATTGATTGAGTGCAGTATCTTTCTATGTGATGTAATGCACACATTCAAATACATAACATAAAAATTAGGCATATATAAAAAACATTATATACATTAGTATATAATCAGATACTTAGGTAATATCAGATATCTTGGAAATATACAATCTTGTATGCCTACACAACACACACACACACACACATACACACACACACACACACACACACACACACACGTTCTTCAATAGTCATCTACTACAAAACCAAAATATGTTGACTAGATAATCAAAAGGCTTGGTACAATCCTAGTTCATCTTAAATAATACATATAGCTATAGCACTAAATACATCTATGACATACCTATCACCCAATACTTTGAATGTTTAGACAAAAGGCTTAATTTACAGTGTGTGCATGTTTGTGTGTGTGTATATGTGTGTGTGTGTGTGTGCACTTTGAACCTATTAGCTAAACTTTTAAAATTTTCTTTTCTTTTAAATGCTTAAAATTTATTTTTGTTTTTGGTTAGGATTTGGTTTTACTTCATGTTTCTTCAGGGAAGTAAAATTTCGATTGAGATATGCTATTCTCCTATATAAAGAAAACAGAGTATTCTTTCACAAATTGAAGGAATACAGTGTCATCTTTTGTGTGTGTGTTTTCTTGTAACTCTGGTATACATTTACTTGAATTAGTATATATAGTAATTGAGAAAGCATGTGTGTACTCTTTCAATACTCTTGCACAGCTTCCTGATCTCAGTTTTTCTCCCACAGTAGATATTCAATAACACAATGGTGATTTTTCCATCCTTCTATCTTTGATAGACAGGTAAGTGGTATATTTTGTTTTTAACTTACATATATTCATTGTATTGTATATATTATTTATAAATACTCTCATAGTATTAAATTCCCTTCTCCTCATTTAGGTAAATCAATGGAACTGAATTACGTGGTCCTTTTACTATGTGCTCCTTAAGATATTTTAAGTGAGTATTTCATGGTTAAATGAATTTTCCCAGTTCCTCTCTTTGTCTCTCGGTGTCTCTGTGTCTCTATGTCTCTCTCTCAGTGTTACTTTGATCATTATTTTAAGGAACACAAATGCATGTCCTAAAAGAGATGCATCATTAACATTTTTTTAAAGAAACAAAGGGCCACTTGCTTCCAGTTGCATTTATTTACCTTTCAAAATAACTTAGTAGAGTAATTCTGTTGCTCAAATCATTTCCTTCAGTTACTCCTATCTAACGTTCATTGTAGGGGAGACAATAGATTTGGGAAGTAGTGCTAACAGAGTAGAATATATAATTTCAAATACTTTTAGTCTTTATTGCTGTCTTTTAATCATAACTACCTAGTCAACATTGTTTCGTACTTAGCACTTCTGATCCATATTTGAATTGGAAAAAGAAATATAAATATTGGGCCACAAAATAGTCACAGAATTCTAAAAGTGACACAAGTATCTATTTTTGGTTTGTCCACAGACAAATTTGTTGTACATCAATGGCTTTTTTTTTTTTTTTACAAAATTGAAATGTGAATATATTTTATTTTTCCCAGTGAATACACAATACACAATTCTTTGACAATACTATGAATCAATTTTATGCCAATTTCTTTGCTGATCTAACAATATCAAATGAAACACATTGAGATTTGGGATACTGTTTGTTCACTCAAGTAAACTACAGTGAAAAAAATCCATCTATAAAACAAAGTATAAAAAGTCTACCCACAACCACAAAATCTCTTATCTTGTAACACTTCAAAATCACAACAAATGCTTTTAAAGTTATGAGAGTAAAAAGTATCCATAAATTGCATGTCATTTAAAATTGTATGGTGTTTCATTTGAAGTACCCATTAGGACAAAGCAACGCAAAAATAGTTTCACCTCTCAGATAACATGGAAACACATGCCCCGCCCCTTTTTCACAGTACACAGAAGTAGTTGAACAAAATAACATTAGTAGTGAAAATTATGATTCTGCATATCTTCAATACTGACAAGATTGCTTTTTAGGAGTAGTGATCCGCAGCTGGGAGCTCATTGATGTGAATATTGTTTTTTTTCATCAATGAAAAAAATTGCATAAACTTAAGTAGAACTTGGTTGTGTTCCACAAAATAACATATATACTTGCGACTTAAATCCCATTGGCAACGGGATTTAAATATGAAGAGCAGTAAGCTGTAACATAGAACATACTGAATCTGTTTTGTTAGTCGAAGTACGTGTTTCTTCAAGGCTTTATTACTTTGGTTGTGTTTACATTGCTCTCGACTGTCCTATATAATTCCGTGAGCTCATTCCAAATCCTGTGAAGGAATCCATTATTTTCATAGCCCTGGAGTCTCCTAACTTACTCTTGTAAAGTGGCATGGAGAAGGTTAGGCAAACCCTACTGTTTATACTGGCATACCTGAGTTTGGACACTGATATGTACATTCGATAGGAGACTTTGCATGTTCTGAAAGAAGCTGTGCTTGGGTCTGCCATGACTACACAGCGGTATTGCCTATGAGTAAAAGATGAGGTTTCATTCCCACCCAGACTTCATCTTGATGGCTTATGCATGTTTCTGCTCAGGCCCAAAGAAGAGTAAACTCAGCAGATTTCTTATCACATTCAATCAACTATAACATGAAAAGACTTGGGGTATTCATGAGGGAGGTATGTATTCCTCAGTTAACAATCTGATGGTTGATGATGAATGGATTTGTCCAAATACCTAGAGGATGAAGGCTTTCTATTCCTGATAGTATGCCTATGCCTAAATTCAAATTACCATAGCATGTTATCTCATCTTCATGATAGATATCCGATGCAAGATTTTGCAATGATCACAGACTGTAATCTGTATGGACATCATATAATCGCTTATGATCATATTCTGAAGACAATCAGAAAGACATGTTGCTATAATCTGAAATTGATCTGAATTGAAAATGATAAGCCATCATGTGATCTGCAGAAATCATTTCTTATGATTTGGTTTGATAATAATCTGCAAATGTCAGTTACCATACATATGATATTCTAAAGTTTTTCACTAATTTATATTATTCATGAACATACAGTGAAAACACAACTAAAAACATATCTGAAAAGATCCTATGCTTTTAAATAGAGGCCATAAAATAAGGAACTGTGTAAATGAAAAGTTAAATTTATCACAACTTAGAATTGACAATAATTACATAAACCATTTTCACCCCACAGAAACTTTCCCATTTCCTTTTGCCAGAGACATTAAACTTCAATAAAGTTCAGGCACTGATGGTAGAAAGTTGTTAAAGGGTGTGTCAGAATTGTTTGTTACTTCAGTGAAGAAAGTTAAGTATATAGCACTAAGAAAATTTTGGGACCTATGAAGAACCTCAAATTCTACGCTTGCCTGTGGAGAAAGACCATTGGAACCATGTACTTACAGCATCCATTCCCTATGATAAAGTCACATGAATTGGCACCTGAGCCAATAATGCACAGTATGTATTAACAAATATTTCTTACTTAAAACCTCAATATATTGACCATCACACTGAATATTTTTCAAGGTATCATCTATTGAATATATCATAAGAAAAAATAATAAAACCATTGGTGGAACTAGAATTTAAGCTTGTGTGAGTAGCACATGGGAAAATATCTTAAGTGGTAATTTCAGGAAGGCTATTATCTACTTGACTTACATACATATACAGTAGCTAACATACATTTCAAAGTCACATTTATCTTGAGCATACATCACTGATGTTCAGGAACTCCTTGTTCTCAAAGTCGAGAAAACAAATGAGGCAGGACACTGTTATTAATGTCCACTTACAAGATTTGGTTTTATTTAAAAAGTGTATAAACATGCATTTTTCTCCCTTTTGACTGTTCTTTCCGATTTACTCATTCAAAATGTGTCAAACAGATTTTAGTTGGTAGCCAATTTTTGAGATTGTACCAGAAAATATTGAGTCCAATAAATCTACTAACTGGAAACTGAACATACTGTGAGCACTGCCTTTAAGCACTTATAACTTGGCTATACATCTATCTGGTGGCTTCAATTTTACGTTTTAATCAAAAGAAACACAAAATTGTATGTAGACTGAATTAGTTTGCTTTTTTTTCCAAAAGAAATGAACTGATGTGGCTACCTCCTCTAATATGTACTGTACATGTGTTAGAAAGATGAACAAGATATTACAATTGAGCTCATATTCAACAGTAGCCAAGTATGCCCTAATAATAAGTTGCTTCTTTAACTATTTGCTAGAATTTCTAGAGTTCATTTTCTTTGTTTCCTTGGGGAACTCCATGATATAGTCTGACTTAATGAGTTGGAAAGATTAATTATGATAATTCAAAACTGCTATTTTTTAAAAGCTGTAATATAAATACAGATCTCTTGAAACACCTTGATTTGTATTTTGCTCATTGTAATTCTAAGGTGGGTTAATTACAATAGCAAGTAAAGTTCATTCTAAATAAAACTTTAATAATATTTTTAAAGCAAGTTAGTACATTTTTGCTACCACCATCCTTTATTACACATTCTGTCTAGACTTAAACCCCCTTCTTTTGACCCCTGCTTTAGTCAATAGCATCCATCTTTCTGCTTCTTAAAATTGACTCAATATCTGATGTTTCAAGAAGACTTTGCCAACACCATCATTCCTTTGCCTTTTCCTATTGCTACACCCCCAACTGAAAACCATCTAACAGGATTGGTTACACCAGCATTATCCAACCTAACTTACAGTACAGAAAACTCCCTTCACATTCAATCTTTTCTTCATGTCATGAGGAGTAGAGATTTGTGCTTATCACCAAAGAAAATCGCAGTGCAAAGTTTAAACATAAAAAGTTACACAATTAAAAGTTAATATATGGCACCACAGCCCATTAATTCACATATAGTACAACAGACCAATCAGAACAGACAATAATATGAACAGAGTTAAAAAGAGTGAGCTTGCATAGCAATGCACAAAAGAAATTATATACAGAGGAAAATCCTTTTCTTCCTGGAGGGCAAGTTTTGCTTTCTTTCTTTTTCTTATATACTCCTGACAAGAAAGAGTTAAGGTGGGTGGTGTAAGTAAGAGAAGAACAGAAGAAAATAACTGTGGGATATGGGTGGCTGTGTGTCTTTACATTGCATTTACAGTTTTCTTTAATAGTACATAAATAAAGAAATTGTTCATTGCACTGTTAAATGTTATCACTTCCATGAGTTTGGACCTGATGGTCCTCAGAGCATCTTTGTATGTCCCCTCTCTGTTACTCTGCAAAAGAGAAGAAAAAGTTATAAATATAGCTTTCTCATATGTTAAATATTTCTCTATCCTGACTAGAAATAAAAATCAAAGCAAATAGAGACTAACTAAAGAATCTCCGCTATCTATTGCATTTGTGAGTTTAAATAATATCCTTTGAAGTCTGTTAGGGGAAAGGGGAAGTACCGTGGAGCTTGTAGATATATAATGCACAGGGAAATTTTCTTAAAATACTTACAAGGCTACAGATAACACAAAGTAAGTCACAAAAGAATCAAAAGGTGCGTGAATCAAAACAGAATCTGTAAACAAACCATGATAGCAAACTTAGCAGTAGCCAATGGTAGTGATTCAGATTCGTGTGGAAGTTTACAGGTTTGTAAGCAGTTTGCCATCATCAAAGGATGAACTAGCTCCCAACACTGCTGTGAATCCACTGGTAAACTGACATTTCACATGTTAGTAGATTTATAAGGAATCTACATTCTTCTTATTTTTAAAACGTAAGAATAAAATAACAACTAACTCAAGTAGAAGGAACTTCTAAAAAGCTTCATAAAAGCTACTAAGTCGGGTAAGAACATACAATTTCTTTTTTATCTCAGGACAAAGATAGATAGTACATCAAGCTCCAATCACAATAAATAACCAAAATTCTCTACAGCAATCTGCTTCCTTTTCTGTATTGCAGTCAGTTATAAAGGTGTAAGAATCATTTGCCAAATAGATCGTATGTTACTTGTAAGTATTAAGACTAATTACCTACATTAAAAGAATTTTATACACTTTAAACCAACTTGAAATACCAATGAAAAGTGTTGCATCATGCACCGTTCTAAATAGTTATCCTTAAACTTATGGCCAATCCTGAGTGAAATAATTGAGTTTGCTTTTCTTAGCAGATATAAATTTTTATCACTCTGATTATTTAATATCGAGATCCTATCAGCCCAATGTTTTTGAATCACAAAGGCCTTAGAAAGGAACCAAAAAACTTACACAATTCACCTGTAAACTGTCCTTGACTATTCGAGCCCACATATCCAATGTCGAGAAGGTCATTGGTGTTCCTCTGATGGCTGCCCCTCAGCACATCGGCCTTCCGAGGGCCAGTGGACCCTTTAGAGGAGGATGTTCCAGATGAGCTGTGCCCACCTGGAGATGGGAAGCTGGGTTTGCTGTAGGGCACCAGGGACTCCTCTAAAAAAGAAATCAAACCATAAAGGACTGAATTGAATGGCAGCACAGGTGTCAATCACAAACCCAATTCTTATAGGCAATTTCATTATATCCACCAAAATGGCAAGTAGGAAATTTAATCTGTTTTGGATATTAAAAGAATTTCCACTCGCAGGCAACTTTTCCTACAATATACACTGAATGGACTAAATCAAAAGAGATCTTGGGATAAGTACATTGTAACATTTTCAAGGCTAGAAGTCATTGTAGTAGAGGTCTGCCGAGAAGAACTATAGTTTGCTTAGCAAAAATAAAGTCTGGGAATTATTTTTGGAGGCCAGTGAAGCCCAGTTGAATTTTTCCATTAAGACCAAAGAAAAATGATTCCTTAATTTAAATTATAGAAATATTTTCTCAATCAGCTTAGATATAGAATTAGTTATAGATTATAGATATAGACATAGATATATAGATATATAAATGCAGAATTAGATTAGACTATAGATATGCATTAAATAAGCTTCTTAAATTTTTGATATTTCTTGAGCCAGAAATTCATTGTGTGAAAAGTTTCATGTTTTAGTAAAAGAGAACAAAACACTAATTAAAATGGGCTAATGTTCTTTTTAGATATCATCTCTCCAAAAATAAATTGTGTTATAATCCATATGTTAATATGCAGATCTGCTCTTCGCTTTTTTCCAGTCATTCCTCATATCCCATCCCTTCCACACCCACCATGTTTCTTCTAATTTTCTGGTATATGTCATGATTAACTGAACACAACCTGCTGATTGAATCTATCAGTTCGATTCTTGGATAGTATTTAGTGAGAGCGGGCACGTAGTATTTTTTTTAACAGCTGGTAACTTTCCAAAATGTCTCAGTAGATCTAGATATTGTCATTCCTTGTCCTTTGATGAAATAAACCTTCTAAGACTTTAATATCACATGGTGACATGATGTAATTAAGAAACATGCATGGGGTGAGAATAAACCTAGACATGACTGAGCACAAATGACTATAGACTCTATAAAGGGGATGCTGTTCTGAAGAGTGTCTGTGTGATCACTTCAAGTAGACACTAATCAAGGGTGAATGCTTCCCTAAACCATATATTTATGCAGCAGATTTACCTCTCACCAAATAATACCTAAGCGGGAATTATGAAGTTTATATTATGAAACTTTCAGGAATTTTTTTTCTTATAAATAAGAGATCTTCCCATCCAAATGTCAACACTGAATTTCATTTAGTCCTAAGAAGAACATATGAGCTCAGTTCCATCTTTTCTAATTTTAGGAAGCCTGATTGTGCATCTCTCTGCACTTTTATGATCTGAATTAATTCTCCTTTTTGGAAAGATGTTAACTCCCTTTCAAATAACTGGCTACTTTAACCAATCAGTTTCAAATTGATATTAAGTTGAGACAAAATAAGAAATTTAGTGTTCTTCAAAAAAAACCTCAATATAGATATTAAAGGATAAAAACATTAAGCTGTTTTCTGAGCACTCCAGATGAAACCTGGAGATTTCTAAGTTCAAAAAACCTTATACAAGGTTAACTTGTAGGTCTCCATTGAATGTGTGCTGTTAAACTCTTAGAAGAATTTCAGTTTGAACTTATTTGAGGCAAATCCAGATGCCCTTAAACAGTTGCCATTCCTAATATACCTGGTAGGAAAAAGTAAGTGATAACAGTCACCCTTTCTTGGGACTGTGCAGCACACACCTGATCCAACCCCTTGTTTGTGTGGGGCTTTCCGTGTTTCTTCTTGGCGTTCTGTAGAGTTTATCCAATCCTGGGTTTGACGCTGCCACTCTAGAGCACTTTTAGCTGGACAATCCAATGAGCTCTTTGTGTCTTCTAAGTTGACTGCTTGTTGTCTCTCTAGAGAGCTTCCTTTTCTCTCTGTTGAGTTTTCCACGTTACCAGAGTGTTGGCTCAGGCCTATCTGCTGCCTTAAACCCTGACCTGGTGGGGGATCTGGTGGTGGGGGAAGATCTAAAAATTTTGAATAATATTTAGAATGGACTAAGATTTAATGAAGAATACAAGCATAAGCTCAAGTTGAAAAAATGAAAAAACAAAAAACATAAAACAAAAACAAAAAACCCCCAAACTGAAAAGCCCTTGCCCTTTTATAAGTATTACTCATGCAAAAGAAAAATAAAAGTCAATTAACGGCTATTCAAAATGCAAGTCATTGATCTGTCTTCTACCTTTCTGACATCTCATCTTTGAGATAAAATCGACTCTTTCATACAGCTGTTTAACAGGGAACATATTTTCAACAGCAAACTAAGGGCTGGCATTGAAGGTAAAGGACAGTTTGTGGTTTATATCCAATCTCTGTCTTTTCAAGGTATAAATACTGTGATGGGAAAAAAAAATCACTACAGATTCTAGAAGCTGTGCTAGTAAACACTACCTAGAACAACAGCACTCTAAAAGACCTCCACGGAAACATCATGCTCTGTAGATAAGGGACCACAGGCCATATCATGCACAGCATATGACTGTCTCTTCACTAGTGTGTGCCATGCTGAGCACAAGTCACAGGGTTAAGCTAACGTTATTAAATGCAATTAACATCTGCCTGACAACTGATCCTGCCTGTTCGTTTCATGAATTGGCTAATGAGTTACAACTAATACATTATAATCTTCTCTTTTATTAAGTTTAACAAGTAATAACTAATATCCGGAGCACGGATTGAATATGCTGTGTGGTGAGCTGTGTAGATGGTGTGTTGTGTAAATTTGAGATGGACTTGATAAGATTTTGAAAGAACATTTTAGAGGTGACTTGACAAGTCCAGAGTGGTCTGATTGTAATCGTAAAGAGCTTTTAAAATGATCTTTGGAAATGAAGAAAACATAAAAGTTGAAGATGACCTAATCTTTTATTTTCCTTTGCTAACTTTTCAGATATTCATCTTTATATTTTGAATAACTTTAATTATGAGATTGTATTTCCTTTTATATCTTTCTTATACTATTTCTGAAATGACATGTTTAAGGACTTTTCATTCTTCTTACCATTCATTTCTATCATTATCATCTGGTTTTTCTTACAAGTTATTGTAAATTTCATGGCTCATCCTTGGATTAGACAATTATATTGCTTATTTATAAAACTTATCCATCATGCAATATATATATTCATGTATTAAACAAACTAAGGATATGCTACTCAACATGGACAATTATTTCTCATTCCATATTTATAAACATGTTCTTCTTTCTAATACTTTTTGAAATTAGAAAGGCAAAACTAAATGTTTTGTACACAAGAAGCCAATTCCCTTTTTAAAAGGCTCATGTTCACTTTAAAAAGCTTTATCCTGTGTTTTTTGAGCAAAATATTATCATCCATTGGAAGGATTTTACTGGTTTGTTGAGCATATGCTTTTGGCATTCCAAGTTGAAGCAGTATTCTCAGCTCTTATAAGTGTCTTCATGTTAGATTAAGAGCTGCCAGTCATTGACGAGAAAAGGGATGCTGTCTGGGAGAATAGGATTGCATTCAGACCATTTCTTCCAAAATGAAGATCTAATGCAATAATATGCTATCTGCTTGCATGATAATCTAATGAGGTTGGTGTTTCCTTTACATTTAATACTGGTTTCCTTTGCTGTGTGTTTTATGAATGCAAATTAATTATTTCATTTGACTTATTGGGCTTAGTCTGTCAGTGAGGGGAAAGGATTGTATTGAATTCTAAAATAACATCTTGTCATTGATTTTTATTCACCATCTAAGCTGTTTAATTTCTAGAATGGCCAAAATGGCATTTGCTTATGGCAGCTAAAATTTTGATGCCTATTTAATTTGACTTGAAATTATATAGCTTGGTAATTGTATAATATCCTTGGAGATTTTATCTTGTAAGAATAAAGGATACTGCAGGCACATTGAAATAAACTAGAAAGAGATGGAATTACAAATGACTGTGGAAAAAATAAAACTATATAATCCAATGCATTTACTAAAATTAAATTTATTATTCAATTCGTTGTGGAATTATTTCAAGTAAGTCAATTCACTAGAGTATCTCACTGGCCCACTGTGGGTTAGCTATTGTCAATCAATGAGAGTCCAATGACATAGGTACATTATTATTCTCATTTATTTTTCAGATAAGTGAATGGGGGTCGATGGGATGGATGAGGGTGGAGCAAAAAGAAATCAAGCATCTAAAGCCTGAATCTCTCTTTTTCTAAGACCCACTTATGTGATTTTGTCCATAGTAATCAGCCAGGTCAGAAGTTTCCACTTAATGCTTCAACACAGCTTCGCATCATCCTATAAACACTTATACTTCTACTGTTGTGTTTCTCCTTTTGCTCAGATACAGTTCCATTCTTCATCTTTGCCCAAAATATGAAATTGTCTTTGAATCCCTTTCTTTGTGGCATATGTTAACTTCCAAATCCCATTGGTTCCATCTTCAATATCTTATCATTTTAGTTTTTGCTTTCACTGATCCACTGAGGGTGCCTTGAAGCACCCCCATTTATTGTTTCTATGATCTCCAAGTGTCTCTATTTTTATACTTTGGACCATCTATTATTGCTTATACAAAATCTATACTGACATTTTGGATTTAAAAAATATAAGATTATACCACTCTCCTACCTTAAAAATATAAAATATACTAACATGAATTCAAAGACACATGCACACACACAGACACACAGACACAATCAATCTCTCTCTCTCTCTCTCTCTCTCTCTCTCTCTCTCTCTCTCTCTCTCTCTCTCTCCCACACACACTCTGCCAGGAATTTTCCACTATAGAAGTCCATAGTAGTTCCTCAGTATACAGTAGTTCCTCAGTATACAGATCCTTAAATATTACTACTGTCTTGTGTGACTGGCAGCATATTCCATCCTGTTTTTCTATCTGCTCTAGTTCTTGCCTTCCTTTAAAAAATATCAAATAAACACCATGCTTTCAATTGCTGGCATCAGCTCCTAGGATGATCTTTCCTTCAATATAAACATTTTTTTTTATATTTTTCCTGCCTTTATCGTATGTCATGTTGTTGTTGAGGCTTTCCCTGATAACCCTACATTAAAATATTACCCCTGAAATACTTTACAATTTCTGTCATTTCTCTCTCCATGGCAGCAATCCCCATTAGCATACTTTATATTATCACTTATGCATTTATACTTGTCTGAACCTCTGTTTATTGACTAGAATATAAGGCCCAGTAGACTGGGGAATGATATTTTATAATACTTGCTCAATAAACATTTAGAAGGAGGAACCAATGAGTTCATGAATTTTCAGAAAGCTATACTGTGGCAGCTATAGAGAAAACAATCTTTGTCTTAACTGGGAATTAAAGACTAGATCGAAGACAGTACAGTTTGAGAGAAGATAATCTCTGAAGAACTCATTAAGGAGGAACTGTCTAACATCTTCAGTACAGAATTGGTCAGGCTATTTCTTTCAAGCATAGATGATTTAGATACATCAACCCCTGCTTAGAAGAGATATTCCATAAGAAACACAAGCACATCCATGAGTGTGTATGGAATTTTTCATTGCTTTTGAGAGAAAAAAACCCTGACATTTCTTATTACTCCAAATTCTTCTCATTGGACACAGAAAATTTCTTCCTTTCTTCAGAAGGTAGCTTGACACAAGGAGACAGTATTCTTGACAACGATATATGAAAAGTGGGATGTGCCACTTGCTATTAGGACATTGTACTATCAACTATAGTCTGTTACTCTCTAATCAGAATCCACAAAGCCTGGCCTTAAAACTGGCAGAACTGAGGGCTTGAGAGAATAGGTAAGTGTGGGATATGCCTGCTCTGCAAGCATGAAGATCTGATTTCAGTCTTCCTGAACCCACATATAAAAACAAAGGCAAGTGCTATGATGAGCACCCACAATACCAGTCCTGAGTTGGAGACTTGCTAGAAAATCAGAGTGGACGATTTGAAAGCTCCAGGAGCAGTGAAAAAATCCTATCTCTAAAAGAAAAAAGTAGAGTGGTTGAAAAGGACATTTACCTTTTACTGCTAGTTGAAACGTACATGAGGCAAGTTCTCACACATGTGTATCCCTCAACATATACAAATGAACACAAATCTCTACATGCACACACACACTGAAAACACACAAACCCCACACACATACGTACAGAGTGATGATATCTCAATCTCCCCAAATTCTAAAGTCTTGTGTAAGTAACTGGTTATAGGACAGCCACCAGACCTTGAAAGATGATTGAGTCTACGAGTATGAGGTCATTATTGTGCTAAGATGCTGAGGTTAAATATTTGAGAAAACAGCCAGCAATAATTTATTCTAATTAATGTGCTCATAAAGACTATCATAAACTATAATACAAAAATTCTAGTGTAAAACTCTTTTTTGTTGTTGTTTTTTTGTTTGTTTGGTTGTTTTTTTTTGAGACAGTTTCTCTGTATTGCCCTGGCTGTCCTGGAAATCTCTCTCTGTGGACCAGGCTGGCCTTGAACTCAGAAATCTGCCTGCCTCTGCCTCCCAAGTGCTGGGATTAAAGGCGTGTGCCACCACTGTCCAGCAAAACTCTTATGTAGTAAATGCTACTAAACAATGATCTTCTGAAACAGAGTGATTTGATTAGGAATAATTATTATCTGATTATTAAATGTTCATTATTTATTTTTTGTTTAAAATGAACACATCAGTGAGAGAAATTATAGGTTAAAAGAGTGAGATTAGCACTAAAAATAACCTAAAGTGATCAATTAATCCTCAGAATATCTGAACCAGAAAAGAAACAGTAAGCCTTGAGTGTGTGTCTGTGTGTGTGTGTGTGTGTGTGTGTGTGTGTACTTCCCAAGATGTCAAATTTTAGGCCTTCATTAACATCTGTATCCTTAACATTTATATTCCATGGAAACACTTCCCAAAGAAACAGAGAAAGCAGGAAAAACATGTATACTCAAGAAACATTAAAACAAACATGTTTGATGTTTAAATCTTAGTATGATGAGATTTACAGAAAGTACAAAGTTGGCAGCTGGATTCCTTCCCACAAAAATAAGAATCAAAAACATTACTGTTTTCCAGCTAAGGTTTTACCCTATCCTAGTAAGTCTGAGGCCCAAGGACTAGGTCTGGTTACAGAAATGCACAGAAAGCAGATAGTACCTCTGATAATTACATCAGAACCAGAAAGCCATGTTTTAGGATACTGTCAAATGGTTCTAACCTTCACCTTTGCTAAGTTAATCCTCTTGATAGTCAGTAAAATGATCTCATGATAAATTTGGGGGGTGATAAGGAGGTGTTTTTGAGAAGCAGAGAGAAATTTTGCTTTGCATCTAAAGTTACAGGAACTACTTAATATATAATAAGAGTCAGAGCATTGAAAGGGGGGTTAGAATAAATATATTTAGAATATATTTAGAAAATATGAGGATTGAGCTGAAAATATGATAACTAAGGGTACTTTGTAGGCAAAATAAAATAGAATCGTTACTGAGCATGTATGTCCTCCAGTAATATTGCTTCCTGAAGACTATTTAATGAAATGCTCAAAGGTTAGATGCTATGCATAAATAAAATGATTTAAATAAAACAATGTTGCTCACATTTAGCCACCAGTTCATCTGTCAATAAAGTTTATTGATAATCATTCGCAGTAATATGTTTGGAGACCTGGTTTCTTGTGACCCTGTCATCTCACTTTTACTATTATATTGCTGATTCAGAATCCCAAGTATTTAGATTACACATGTGTACCAACAACCCAGTTTATGTAGTTTTGGCTGACCAGTCTAAGGTTACATTTCTACGGTAGGCAAGTATTCTATACCCTGAGCTACACCCATAGTTACAGTTTTAAATATGTTTTCCATAGGTAAACTTACATAACTAGGAGTAGATTTAGGACATAAACCCTGTGCTTCTCAAGGTCAAAAGTATTTACGATTTGGACATTAAGTGAAAAACAAATATTGAGCCTTTCTTATGGGTGGAATCGTTATGCTTCTACCATTCATAGATTAAAGTTAATCCTTGTGTCTATTGGTATGGTATTGGGAATTGAGACCTCTTGTGGGTAATGAAGTTGGCTCAGGGCCTTTATAAAGAACACCAGAGAAACCTGTTCCATCATTTGAAGTTACCAAAAGTAGGCACTGCCTGCAGCCATAAAGGACCCTATTAATACACACCAAGAGTTGCACTTCCTAGACTTTAAAACTGAGAAATAAAATTTCTCTTTTTCATTTTTTTCTATTTATAAGATTGTGATCACATATTGCAGTACCTGAAACAAAGGAAGTCTTTATACCAACAGACTACGGCTGCCTCTTTGTTCTGAAATTCATGAACCCAAAACATTACTTAATCACATCATGGTCTTCTCAAAATAAAATAAAATAGGTCCAATAATTGCAGGTGTTCACACACAATTACAAATGCACATGGGCTGACACTTTCCTTCCTATGCTTAAAATGAGATGCTGGCGATTTTTAGAAGAGCTAAAACTTTGGAAAGTTGAATTCTAGATCTTTCTTGAGGCGTGATGATGATGATGATGGCGGCGGTGGTAGTGGTGATGACGATTATAAATTTCACATGATTGAAAAAGAATGTGTTTTATTTAAACATTTCATGTGGTCAAGTATCTGAACTAGCAGGTAATTAGGTGACAACACCTAATCTACAATCCCTCCTTTACTGAAAGTTAGTGAGAACCCGGAGAATTGTTCATAAGGAGATGTCGTTGAGTAACCTACCATCTGGCATCCCTTCTCTCCGATGAGGTAACGCTGGCTGTGGGTCCATCCGCCCTCCCTTGTGTTTTTTCGTGGGCCTAGGTCTCTGGCTTTGATTCTGGGCAGCACTGGTGTTACTGTCCGTAGAAAACGGGCTGGTGGGCCGCTGCCTTTGAGAGGAGGTAAAGGCTTTTCCTGAAACGAAAACCAAGAGAACAGACATAAAGAATGACACTAATACTTTAAACGTTTGTCTTGCTTTGTGTCTTTACTCTTTCTAGACTACCTAGTGAATGTACCCATAGATGCAATGGGAAGGTACAAAACCCCACTGCGTGTCTGCATGGAATACCTGCTGCTCATAATTCATCCAGTTTTTAATAAGCTAAGAAGACCCCATCCAGCCAAAACATGTTTCAAGCAAATGAACCTGAAATAAATCCACCAACCAAAAGCTTCCCATTGCTTGATCATAGTTTTATTCAGTCTTGACAATCTTGGTAATTCTTTCATAAATCTATGCAAATGCATGCCACATTTACTTTTCCATATAAGAAAAAGGGTTTTTTTTTTTTAAAGAATTTAATTGCGTGGTATTTTATTTAAATAGTCAAGCTTCACTCTTATAATCCTAAACACTGTTTTGGAGTTATAACATTTGAAATTTTATACCAAAGTTCTCCTGAGATGTATAAATAAAATTGACCTTACCACTTAATGTTCATACACAATAATTCTACCTTTCAGCAGGATTAAGTAAGATCAGTGTAGAAGGTAGCAGGTAATAGTCTCAGTCTAGAACCCAAAATGCGATGTATGTTTTCTGAGCAATATTATCCTATGTTAACAAGCTCGGCATTCCAAATTTTAAAACGAAATATGCTATTTTCCTTTTGATAGTTTAGAGTATGTGCATGGAATTTATTCTGGGAAAAGGGTCAGCTAATACATGTTCCACAATGAATTATTTTAACACTAAGTTTATTATTGTAAGAGAGGACTGGCTTATGTGCACATAGTTATTCTTTTGTGCACATTTTCACTTCATACAAAATTATCATATGTAGTTACACTTTCCTGAGTCCATGTGACTTGATACTGCTTAATGCTTTATTAGTGTTTAACATACATGCCGCTGGTGCACTTATGCCTTCTAATTTATTAGCTCCGTTGCACCTTCTCCCTACTTTGCCTCTAACAAATGCCTCAAAAAGCACTCAGGCAACATAAAGATTCTGACTTATGTCTTGGGAAGTAAGAAACTCCAAATAACCAGGTCTTTACACCATATTTTAGTTTGGATGCTTTATACACTTGAACTTTTGCAGTGCCTGAGACATGCTTATATTTCGTTTGGAGAATATTTAATGCACGTTAGAAAAAAAATAATGATGGTGAAACTTATGACAACATCCAAGACATAATTTTATAACATGAAAGTATAGCAAGGGTCCAAAGTCTTTTTTCTTTACCATTCGAGTGCCATTAAAATTGAAGCATGCATTTATACTTCATTAGTTTATTTTGCTAAGACAACATAGTAAATGTGTATATTAACTTCCTATTATATGCAGCTAAGAAGTACATATAAAATTATAAGGGCATATACGTCATTCCAAAGCTGTTGTTTTCCTCTCCAGAAAGACTCATTTACTTCCAAATTACCAGAGTTAATCTTACATACCTTTCACCAACCCTGTGGCATGACATGAACATAATAATTATGTAATTTGACTTTGATGCTATTATTTACTACTCTTTGAAATAAAAATGAATTTACTTTAAAGAGCAGTGCACATAGAGATATCTTATTGAACTCACAAATGCCTTTGGTGTATCTTTAGTTAGCATCCATTAAAACAAATAGTAAATTATTGTATTAAAATCTTAGTCAAACAATTAGGACCATCAGCCAAGGGAGCTGTTAGTCTTAGACCCGTTCACCCCATGCTGAGAAAGCCTTCCCAGAAAAATGCCTCTGCAGAAAGAAATAGGGGAAAGTAAGGCAATAGAGATAAAAGCTAAATAATCTTAATCACCAGGTTCATTATTGATTTTGTGAGGATTTTGCAATGTGTGAGTTACTGAAAGTTTAATGACAATCTCAGTAGCGGCTTTTTTTGTAATATGGAAAGGAAGCACACAGCAATTAACCAGTAGAGCCAAAAGAGGAAAAGGATGGAAGGGATGCAAGGTAACGCATAGGAGACTATTTTTGGCTCCAAAATATCAGCATCAAAAGAGAGTTCTGGTAACAGAGCATCATCCATCCAACTGTGTTCATGCATATTTTAAAAAGTCTGCAGTTAGATTCACTGAGAAGAAAGAACAGAAGGAAAGGTCAGTGTCTGGAGGACAGGATTCTCTCATGCAAAGAGTGTTGACTTGGAATCTACCAACCTGTTCTCGTAAGACTGGTTCCATCCAGCCTAAAACCAGCTTTATCTGCTGCTGCCACCAATGCTTGTGCAAAGCTGCCGCTGGCAAAGATAGAGCCATCTGAGGAGCTACCTACACTAGATCTATGACTAGAAAAGTTACGATCCTCATCAGATGCAGAGCCCCATCCATTTACCATTGAACCTAAAAACAAATGTAGTGGTCCAGTAAGTCGTATATATCAGATATCTCATCTGCTGTAACACAGTGCATAATGACCAAACTGGCTAGTTCATTTCCTTTCTAAAAGGTTTCATAGTGAATTCTTTATTCCACTAGCATCTATGTCTTCAACATTCTAAGTAAGAGAGAACTAAGGCCATTTAAAATCTGTATCTGTTTGTTTCTCATTGACAAAACACATATCACTTGGTTCAATTCTTACATTGATTAAATTATCACATGATCATTTCCCCACAAGGATTGCTATGCTTATTTAACTTGCTGTGCATCAAGAAAGACTAATCTGACTGAAGCAATTTAGTGTATTTAAACTGGAAGAATTAGTTCAAAAAATAGTGTGAATATATTTTAAAGTTAGTTCAGAATTTATAAATTATAACAAGATTTTAAACTAAAAGTTATTCATAAAACAACAAAAACTCATATTTAAAATAGCTAAAACAATATCAAATCAACATGGAACATAAAGAATAAACTGTATTTTTCTGAATATTTATTTATGACAATGATGTTACATATTCTTTAATTTTTAATTAGCTTAATAACTCCAGTTTTTTGAATGCTAAAAGTTTCTTTAAAAACAATTAGTATAAAAATATCATGAACTGTAAGGTAGATTTTTCTGCAAAATGAAACATGGTATTAATGAAAAAAATACAACTTTATGTGTAAATAAATTTCCTTATAAAATACTTTGAAGATACTATAAATAACATTTTCTTAAGATTCTACAAAGCAAGTTTTCAATTTTTTTAAAAAAAGAAAATCACAGGGGGAATTAAACCAACTATTTACTATAATTAATATAATATTTACTTAAGTTGTTGTATGATTAATTTATAATACAATAAACTACCAAGTATTTAGAAAGGAGACACAAACATGTGTTTATAAAATCTGTTTTCCTAAATAACACAAATACATATTTATGAGAAATAGGTGAAAATAAAATACAGTAGAGTTTTTACTTTATTCTTATTCCTTCAAGAGAACAGTATGATTAAGAGTGAAACAGTGATCACAGGAGTGTTCACGTAATTGGTTTTAATGCCTTGCTTTTTCTTTGACTATTTGTGTTTATTGTCTTGCTTGTTCCTTGACTATTTGCATCTATTGTATTGCTAGACCCTCAACCTATAACTGACCTTAATACATGCATGTAATTAAAATGGTATAAAAGCATAAAGGAGGACAGGGATGGGATGGGGGTTTCTAGGGAGGGGAACTGGGGAAAAGGGATGACATCTGTATTGTAAACAAATAAAATATCCAATAAAAACATAAAAAAAAGAGTTTCAAGTACTTAAAATATTAGTGAATGGGTCAGTGACACAGATACATTCTTTTTCAAGACAGAGAAAACAGAATTGAAAGGAACAGGATAATTTGAGACATTAAAATAGAGTTAGCAGAAGCAGAGAGAGGCAGTCTGGACTCTAGTTGAAAAACCATAAGTACACGGTCTTTACACTCCAAACAAGTATGCTTCACGAAGACCACTGCAAGGGAGCTAAGACAGATAACACCATCAACAGAGCCTCCTTAGACAAATTTATCCCTGGGCTAAAGATCACTGTCAAGAACCAATAGGCCACCCTGAGAGAAGAAACAAGGCAAAGGGCCTGTGTCCCCTTTGCCACAGGGGAGAAGGAGAAATCCAAAGCTGTTCAGTGAGGGGTCACTAAAGGATGGAGAATGTCAGCTGAGAGTAGGCTTAGGGAGCCTGAATCCTCATTTTTGTTCCTTCCACAGACTTCTTCACTATTATAATAGACATTCCCTTATTCTCTCCCATTTACTTCATGTTTTATTTTTTATTTTTTTTATTTTATTTTACTTCATGTTTTAATTTTCTAACTTGTCTCTTTCTGGTACCTCCTGTCTTTATCATTGTCTAAATGTCTTTCTCAAGAACTTACATACTTTGATTTCTCCATTTAAAGATCTCTAGAATATCATCTTTACGACAGTCACATCCTTACTATTCTTCTGAGTCACTGGGTCCTCAAACTACAGAGTCCTGTCTATCTCTGGAGTAGTATCTCACACAACACTATCTCCATCACATAACCACACTTTCTCAATTGCTACCACTTCTGATTTCTGGTGTCTAATGAAATCTTGGCTCTTGTTGCCTTGATTATGTTTCACCTTCAGTCTGCTATCATCTGATATTATCTTAGAATCATCCTCTATAGTTGTAGAAATACTATGCAAAAAAGAGTACGTAGGTGTCATCCCTTGACGTTTACTCTTACATATACATTTCCTTAAGAAGTAGAGTTTTATTGATAAAGAACTACCTGTTTTCCATTCTTGCATATGTTATACAGGAGCACTGAAGTACAGAAATTCAATGAACATTGACATATTGGATAATATACACTTAGTGTTTTCATCTCACTGTAAATTTTATGCAGTAGTATATCTGATGTATAATGTCTTAACAATGACCTTACTTTACCTTCCAAAGAACATCTCTATAGATATTCCTAGAAAATTTAGTTTGTTTATTGATTGATTGATTTATAAAATAACAGATAATACTAGTGAATTCTTGTTGAGTATCTAGA